TAGAAAGCCATCTGTATGGAAAAAAGAAACTGGACGGTGACCCAAGGTGACAGGCCCAAGAGGTGGGCATGGAAGGACAAGCCCAGGACTTAAGAATATGACACAGACTGAAGCTCAAATGCTGCCTGCACCACTCACGACCAGTGTGACTCCGACCTGTGCCGCTCATTTACCCCCTGAGGCTCAGCCCCCTCATCCATAAGATGAGCTGGAAAGACGATCTACCTGAAAGACTCGTTATGAGAATTAAATGCATCGTACGGGTAGCCACCCAATAAACATCAGCTATAATGAGTGTTACTAATTTACCATTATTGTTTAGCTACGGCATGGCTAAACAATAATGATAACAGAAGTTGCACATGCAAGAGATGCCTGATGCAGGTGCAAGAGGAGGAGCTGCTTCCAGAACACTCACAGCCCCGGGAGCCAGCGCTAGCCCTGCGGGGAGCGAGAAAACAGGTTTACTGGAAGAATCGGCTGCAGCAAGGACTGATGTGTCTGCTTATCTGCTCAGCCCCGGTGTGGCTGCTGTCGAGCTGATGTGCTCACGGGGCAGGCGCCTTTTCCTGCCAGATTAGGGTCTGCTCGCTGCTCAATGCCTGTGATTTGTCTAAACACATACGCTGTCCCTGCTGAGATCTGTGCCTCAGAGCATTTGGACACATGGCCTTATTTCTGAGATTCCTCAAGTGTTACTTGTCGCAGAAGCCCCTGGTGCAGCAAAGCTTTTGCAGGGATGCCTAGAAGTCAGCCCTGCAGTTCGGCTGACAGAACCTGCTCTGGAGCCCCTGAGAAGTTGCACATGGCCCCCATGGGCCACAGCCTTCCATAAAGACCAGGTGACATGTAGAATATTGCTAAACCCCCTCATGGATGAAGACTAGCTGATGATGATGATGTGGGGGTGGGGGAAGCCCAAGGGTAATTTATCTGTAGCCTCAATGGGTGGGGAGGGGGCTCTGTGGACCCTACTGAGGAATCAGCTGCCCCAAAGCCCTGCCAAGGCTTCCTACCATCCTTAGATTACTCCTGACCATTTTCTCATTTTACTAGCATTTTTTTTCTGTTGACAGTAAATACCTACCTTCATTTTAGTGTATTTAGGTGAAACAGAACAGAGATGAATATAAAAAGCACATATAATCTAACTTTACAATTAATAAATGCCTTTATATGAGTTTCATAGTGTTATATGTGTGTACATATACAGGCATGTGCATGTTTGTGTTTATAAATGTGTGGGTATGTATGTGTACAACAGTAGTTCCCCTGCAGATCATGGGGGATGAGTTCCAAGGCCCCAGAGGGTGCCTGAAGCTGTGAACAGTATTGAGCTCTGCATATCCCACGGGTTTTCACACACACATATCTTCTCAATAGCAGAAGCTCTTTACGGCCTCTCTCTGGCCACATTATCGTCTAGGAGACACGCCCATGCACAGCTCGGCGCTGTGCGGCTGGTCCTGCCAGTGCACTGACAACTACCTGCACCCTGCATGGCGTTCTTTTTTCCTTCAGTACCAGGCTCCCCAAACCTTAGACTAGACATTCTACTCAGAATGCACACCGCCTACTTATTTGAAAAAATCATCTTTGAAAAATTGCGAAGTTGGGTTCTTGAGGCCAATGTATCATGTAAGAAGGAAGCAAGTTAGGCATGAGGCCAGAGACCTTCTGCCCCACAACGTATGTGCGCTTCACCTCGAGAAGAAGTCATCCCAGAAGGAGACGATCTTGTCTGTAACTTGTATTAGGCCTTTACCAACCTTTACCCTGAAGGATTAGAATTGTTCCAGGCTCAAGTGCACAGTTCTGTCCATTCATTCTTATGGAGGACTCTCATTCTACGAAAACCGGCACCAGTAGATGGGCTCTTCCCACGAGCAGACTAAGTGTCCAGGCCCTGACCAGTGTGGCTCACTGGGTTAAGCTTAGCCCCACAAAGCATAAGGTCCCTGGTTTGATTCCAGGTCAGGGCACATGTCTGGGTTGCGGGCTGGGTCCCCAGCTGGGGCACAAGAGACAACCATTCAATGTTTTTCTCCCTCGCTTCCTCCCTTCCTTAACTTCTCCCTACGAATAAATAAAATCTTAAAAAAAAAAGTTAAAGAGCGCACTGAGTTTTCAGGAGGGTGTAAAGCAGGAATACAGGCTGGTCTTCCTTTTTAATGTAGTAATTTATGATCTGAACCCATTTAAGGATGAGCAGGCTATAGAGTCCCGCCCCGTAGAAATGAAGGCAAGCAGTCTCGACAACACAGGCAATGGAATTTTTCTCAAACTATGAGCTCACCAGCTACTCCCCAGCCATAGCCATAAAGAAAGAGCCACTGACGTACAATTCTGGAAACAAAGTCACTGTCTTCATTTCCCTGACTTAAAACTGGTAGACAAAAAAGTTTCTCCCTTTGCTGACTCAGTGATTCCTCAGCTTATCTTCCTAATGACAGCAGGAAATAGCATTGTTGAAAGTTAGACCTGCTGAAGCTGTCTTGTGGAGCCTCTTAGTCACAATGTGTCTATTTCAATTCCTTTGGAAATTCGCAGGTTGGGTCACCCCGTCCCTGTTAAATGGAACAGAACTTGGGGAGTCCGTAGGCTGCCCCTCTCGGTGTGGGAACAGACCCAAAGCAACAGCGCGTAAGAAACCCACCACTGCCTTAGCCTGTCTCTGATCCGGGCTGCAGCCATCTCTTGGGTAGCAGAAGCCATGACAGGCACCTCGTATTTTGTAGAAACATGCTAACTTATTTCCAACCACACTGTTGGATCTCAGTCTGGACTTAACTGGCCAAGCAGGCATTTGCCAGAGACCACATGTAATCTGTCTACCTCCCAACAGTCCCCGAAATAAAGATGAGGGAGATAATATTTTCAGAGGTTTCCTTGAGGAAATGTTGAATCAGTTCACTCACCAGATACACTTAAAGTATCCCAGGGTGCAGATGGATTGGCATAGAGCTAGGGACCTCTGTCAAATCGTATTGCCCACCCCCCCACCTCTCCAGCCACATCCCCAAATTGCTTTTACACCGAGCATCATTATGCACCACAGACCCGTGAAACTCATTCTTGTGCCCTCAATAAGACTGCAGCGGGGAATGTTGCTCCTTACATCACAGGCTGTTTCCTTATGAGGACTCCTGGGAACAATTCCTGTCTGGCCCATGTGAACAACGGTTAGAATTTTCCCAAGCAATTGGTTTGTGTTTATCTCGTCGACATTGTGAACTGTGTTTCTGACAAGTTGCCTTGGTTCCGTTGGCAGCTGGGCTGCTGTGGCCCACGCAAGCAGCAGACGTGGAGAAACACCGTTTCAGCATTCTTTCCAGCTCTGGTGTATTCTTTCCCTTCTATCTCGTGCTGCCTCGCTTTTAATTTCTGCTATCTTGTCATGTTCTATGTCTCACTGTAAGCCACCTGAAAAGTATTCTGTGAAACAGGATTTGGTTTACACTGAAAAGTAGATAAATAAGATGTGCAAGAGCTCCACACTGTGTGTTCCCACCTACTTCCTTCAAAACTTTAACTGCATCCTGATTTAACATCCTTCCGCTGATAGACTCAAGGTTTGGGGCGTGAAACTCACAAGCACAGCAATAACGATCCTCAAATAATTAGGAAACCCACACAAAGGTGCCCAAATATTGTCCCATCTCATTCTGATGACTCAACTCAGGCAATGCCATTAAAATGACAAAGCTGCTTGGGAGTCTGATGCATTTTAGTACTAATTATAATGAAAAGAGTAACACTACTTAACACTTGAGCGGCACAGGGAAGCGCGCTTTGCTCTCCTGTGGTCTGTAGGCAGCCTGGGGAAGCAAGATGGGCATGCATTACTGTGATTTTCATGGGCAAGGAAGAACTGCTAGCCCCTAGATGTGCTCCGTGCCCAGGGATTTTCCAACCGCAGGAGATGTGCTCAAATACAAGAGGAGATGCGACACTACAAATTCCCATCGAACTGTGCTGGGCATGAGTTAGGGACCGATATCCCAACTGTACCCATCAGAGGAAATGATAGAGGTCTCTTAATACATGAAGTTGGAGGTAACTGGAGTCAGCTTCTTTCAAGCAATACTCCTGTTTCCTTGAATCAGAAGTGGTATCTTTCTAGAGCTATGCTCTCCAATAAGGCGTTTCTACAATGTCAAAAATGCTCTTGAACTTGCACTTGACCAACATTGTGGCTACAGCGCGCCTGAAGTGTGGCTAGTGCAGCTGGGCACCTGACATCTGAAGTTTATTTTATAAATTTGAATTTAAATTGCCACGGTAAATCTAACAGGTTGCAGGATATAAGATCAATACATGACAGTCAACTGGATATCTATGTACTAGAAATAAAATATATGAAATTAAAACTTTTTAAATGCCTTTTACACTAGCATCAAAAATATGAGGTGCTTAGGGATAAGTCTTGACAAAAGATGCGTAAGATGTGTACAGCGAAAATTACAAAGCCTTACTAAGTAAAATCACAGATCTTAAATAAGTGAAGATATATACCACGTTCATGGTCAGAATACTTGTTACTGCTAAGATGTCAGTTTTCCCCTAAGTGAGCAATAGATTTGCTGCAATCAGTCCCCATCAAAATCCCATAAGCCTTTTTGTAGAAATTGACAAAGTGATTCTAAAAGTCACATAGAAATGGAAATGTACCCAGAATCTAAAATATTAGTTTGCCTTAGCCCTGGGAATCAGGGCTTAAGGGACAAAGTTTGTTAGATGGCAATTTGGAAAGGTCTACTTCTGGCACTCCTATGTGTGTGGCCTCAGGTTCTCCACCTATAAAAGAGGTATATTGATGCTTACACAACAAAACTGGAGTTAATATTCAACAGGCTCATGGATGCTAAATATCATCCAAGGAGCCAAGGTACTCAAAATACATCCCACCCTCTTCCCTACCAAGCCCCTCATCACAGCACACACGTCTGTCCCTTGCAAACAGGTGAGCAGGTGTGAGGCGGGGCCTCTCCCATCCTTACCTGGAGCCACAGTTTGTCATGCTGAGACCACTTCCCGCCAGCAATGCACTGAAACGTGGCGTTCTGCCCCACATTCACCTCAACATTTTGGAGCCGCAGAAAGTGAGGTGCTTTTCCTAAGAGAGAAACCAAAGAACACGTGAGGACAGAATTCGACAGCCTGAACCGCCTTCTCTGCAAGCACACGGCAGCTCAGGAGAGACACCAGGCCGGGGGGAATTTGTTCCTGGGCAGTGGCCTGGCTCAGTGAAGAGCCACTGTTGACTGATCACTTACGATGAACCAGGCATGTCCTAAGAGCTCTACATGCATCCTCTTGCCTAAAATCTCACAAAAAGCCATAAGGTGGGCAGTATTTCCATTTCACAGGTCAGAAAATTAAGGCTCAGAGAAGTTACCTAGTTTGGCACAGTCGGACAGTCAGGTAGTGGGGGAGCCGAGACATGAATGCAGGTCTCAGAGAACGTTAAATCCATATTATTAACTGCTGGGCAATACCATCATGTGGGGAAGAAGAAGTTCGGGGAAGGGGCTCAGCACAGAAGATTCCTCCTTGCTGCCTGGGTGAGCAGAAAGAAGAAAGCGCCTCTGGGCCACAGACCTCCACACCTGGCCTTGGTGAAGACGCTGATGAGGAAGATGCTGAGAAGGGAAGAGATTGCCAGTAGCTTTCATTCACTTAGTGCGGCCTGTGTGTATCTACACTGTAACTCATTTAAACCAATGCAGCTGGTGGTGGTATTATCTCTATTTCACAGTACGTGAACTATGGCACAGAAACTTCAAGAAACATTCAGAGCCTACATTCTTCCCTCTAACTATAGTGTCTCCTAAAGACGGGAGGGAGGCAGGACATTCACTCCGGGGACTTGGCATAGCAGAAGTGGTGACGTTCAAACAAAACTCGGTGTCCACAAGCAAGGAGTTCTAGAATTAAACATATATTTTGTGTTGGGTAACTTGGGTTCACCTCTTTCCTTGTTTGGGGAGACAAGTCCTCACCTATGCGGGTTCTTCATAGATGAGTGGGTGGATAACCTACACCTAGAAGAATCAGTTTCTTCATTGAGGTGCAAAAATGCCATGGACCCTATCACATCAACTACCCTCAGAGCGAGAGTCAATGGAGGGTTGTTAAGAGGATTGGGGAGGTTCAACAAGGGCCTTTGGCCATCTTTCCACAGCGAGTCAAATATCCAGAGAGACAAATAATAATGATAATGGCATTTACTCAAAGCTCCCACAATACCAGGTACTGTGATAAATGCTTTAGATATTTTATCTAATTTAACTTCATAACATTCCTGTAAAGCAAACACTAATATTATTTCCCTTTTAGAGAAGCAGAAACCAAAGCTAAGTTTAATATGCCAAGGCTACACAGCATTAATGACAGAAACAGAATTCAGACCAGATCCATTTTTAGCGCCCAAATCAGCACTTAACGAGCACATTTGCTTGCTTCCTGGGCAACGGAAGGTCAGTGGTGCCACCTCGGCCCCAGAGTCCAAAGAAAGGGCTCATAGGCAAGACTGTGCTGACTCCCCAGGCTCCTGTCATCGCACCCAAATATTTTATCACAAACGATCCTTTCCTTGCCATTTCTACCCATGGGCTTCACCCTCTAAACTGTCTGGTCTACCAAACTCTGTCACCGCCTGTAGAGCTCAGCAAAACCAACAACCTTGATGAGATCAGACAGACTCATGATGCAAAAGCATTTACCTCCTGCTCAGGTTTTTAAACAAATAACAACAGCTTAGATACCTCTCCTGGTACTTCTGGGACCCGACAAGTTAAAGTGGAGTCAATACTCTAAGGCCCAAGGAGGACCTCTCCTTGTGGGCTTCTCAGAGCTGAAGATTCCTTGCATCTAGTCAACCTGACGAATGTCATGCTGCTTTGATTGTCTGAAATTGTTTCCTTTCCACTCACCTATATAATTTGTAAAGTTATTTTTGGAATTATCAGTTCAACTCAATTCTTCGTGTGGAAATACTGTGAACCCAAAGCCTGTTTATGCCAGGGGTCTAAAGAGGAAAGGGAACATCTAATCCATTAAGGGAGGAAGCTCAGAGTCTTCGCAATAATGTTGGGAGGCTTCGTGTTGGGTTTTATAAAGGGATGCCTCTCCTTACTCGTGGGGGACATTGAGCAAATGGATCAGCCTCTGGGATTTGTGCAACTAGAAATGGCTCTTCTCTGGATCAGTGCCCCTGCTTTCTTCTCACTCCCCTTTCTCCTTTGAGGCAGCAGACCTTTGGCCTTAATTCTTTCATTTTCCATCCGTCTTCTTCTCCCACTTCTAGGTTCACTGGTAAAGAATTTAGAGGCTTAGTGGCACTCCCTTAATATTCATCACTATGAAACAATGATGATCTCCGATCTTTGAGCCCTGGTCTCATCCCCAGGTTATGACAGATTTCTCTCTCTCTGGATATTCTCCTTCTATAGGGAACCTGTTTGGTCCACTTCTCTGAGCTCCTGGTCTCTCCGATCCTCCTCCTATCCTGATCCCCAGCCTCCTGTTCACTCCCGAGCCCTCTTCTCTCTCAACTGTTATTTTGCCCAGCATCTACAGCTCAGGGAGAAAAAATTATTCCGCCAGCTTCAACTCACCGACCTTCGACCAAATACAGGTGACCTTAGGACCCAGACTGCCACCAGCTTATGGTTTTAAGCATTTCACACTCACTCCCCACTGAGTACCAGCACCCTGAAAATGGAATCCCGCTGAATGGGGTTAACAGAAAACAGCCATGCGTTTGGGGCAAAATACCTTGATGTTGGTGACATTTAAACTCCCACAGATGTCATTGCAGCACCTGAAGACATATTATTGTGCCCTTTATCTCGCTCTTTAAACCTGACAGCGCTCAGTAGGAAGCCACACAATTGAGGAGAAAGCTCAGTACATACATTAGAAATGTGGTGCCGACGCTCCACGGGTTCAGTGACATTGTCCCGCAAGGTTGGTATGGAAAATAAAAGTTTAAAAAATTCTAAAAGTCAACTTAGGAGCTAGAAACTTGGAAACTGAGTGGAAAATTGGACTGACATTTCTCGTGCAGTTATAACTACAGTGGCCTTGCCACTGGCTAGCACCGAGAAACGACAATGGCTGAAATAATTTTCAAATAACACAAAAATGTTAAATGGGCTATAAAATACAGACAAGAGGTTTCAGTTTGTAAGAGAAAATAATTTCCTTTGAGTGTTATGCCTATCAGTCACTGTTTTGGAAGCTGTGAGACAAGCATTTAAAACCCTAACTTCAGCTTAAATCAATCAAGGACACAATTACAAATTGGGTACTAACCCCCCTGGAACTTTTGGAATACTTATTGATAAACACAGGCCACATGGTCAGAGAAATAGGGTTTCGGAGGATGGAAGTGGAGATTTTAAAAGCCTGACATAAGGAGGATGCACGCTTCTCAATCTAGTGAAATTTTTCACCATCTCACTAAAGTTATAAATGCATTAATATTAAGGCTGGAGTTGGAGAAAAAGAATTATCCGTCCAGTGGACAGCTGGGAAACCACTAGCAGGCCGCATGATGTGTCACCCTGTGAGCAGCCCTAGGATGCATGCACGGTCACTGCTTCGGAAGGCAGAACTCAGTTCTCCCGATTCACACCAGTAGCTTAAGCCACAAGGGGGATGCACCAGTTCTGATGCCTCTAGCTCCCAATCTAACCGGACACATAGAACCAGTTGGCTTTGCCTCTTAAACGTATCTCTCACTGGTCCACCTCCCTCTGTCTCTGTGTTTTATGTTTCTTCATAGCATGGCTTACCATCTGCTATGAGCTGACTTGTGTACCCCCAGATTCCTGTTGAGGCCCCAATGCTGCATCCTGGGACTACATTTGGTGACAGAGTCTTTAATGAACTGATTAAAGCAAAATGAGGCTGTTAACGTAGGCCCTGATCCCCCGATGGGTGTCCCCATAAGAGGAGGGAATCTGGACGCGCACAGACACACACGTGAAGGCAGAGTGAGAAAGCAGCTGTCCACAAGCAAACGAGGCAGCATACGAGCGCCCATGGGAGAAACCAAGCCTGCCGTCTTCATCTTGGACTTCTGGCCTCCAGGACTGGGGGGACATGATTTCTGTTTAAGCCCCCAGACCATGGCATGTATTTTGTTATGGCAGCCTTAGCAAACTCATACAGCATCCGTTAGAGGTCATATAATTTCCTGATTATTTGTTTATATTCCAGTCCCTTTCACTCAAGGGAAAACCCTGAGGGCAGAGAATGACTCTGCCTTCCTCCCATAAACCCAGACTAGTGTTGGGCCGAGAGTTCCTGCTCCGTAGACACTTGTCGAATGACAAGCTGGATGCCTCTCCACTCCCCTGGCCCAGGCCGCCATGATCTCTTGCATGACGCCAGAACTTTCTAATGCATCTCCTAACTTATACCCTATTCCCCAGTCACACTCCCTGCACTTAGATTGGAACGGAAACTGGTCCTGATGACTCAGGGCTCTGCCTGGGCAGGCCCAGCGTCGCCCCCCAGTGTTCGCTCCGACCACTGTCCCTGTGCTCACAATGCCCAGGATGCTTACTCACCTCGTCGAGCTGACTCCCCACAGCAAGGCCTCTGCACTTACTGTTTTTTCCATCCAGAAGGCCCCTCCCTGAGTCGTTATGCAGTGAATTCCTTCTTAAGACTCGGGGCTCAGCCCACATTACATCTTCCAAGACATGGCCCCTGGCCACATGGCCCCTGAGCCACCCAGAGCCTCCCCTATCCCAGTCACTCACATTTATTATAGCCGTAGCGCTTATCACAACATGAAACTACATTAGTGACTTATTAAGTATTATTTATTTAGTGTCTTTCCTCCCTCTGCTAAGTACACACTGTGGAAACAAGGACCTAATCTATCTTGATCACTTAAGTATCCCCTGTGTCCAGCCGAAGTTCCTGACACATAGCTAATGCTCAACACTTCACCTGCTGAAAGAAAGAAGGGGCAGACACCTGGACTGGGCTCGGACTGAGCATGGGTCCTTGGGAAGGGGCCTTTGCTAGGCCCTGCTTGATTCCACGTGACTCATGAGCAGGGACCAGATCTCCGAGGACTGCATGCACTGCCAGCATCTGTCCATATAGTTCAATGGAATTTGCCCAATTCCAGCCACTGTCACAGGGCCCTCAAAAATCATTTTAATTCCGGGGAAGTTTAAGTTTCAGCCGCTTAAGCCGTCGAGGTTGAACTCAGCTGGAGCACATCATGCAGGGACACAGCCAGGGTCACGTCTTCCTGAGTTACAGCCCATTTGCTGGGTAACTGGCGCTCGGGCATTCCGTAACCATGCAATACGCACCCCTCGGCAGGAGGACTGTGAGGCTGCCAGGAGAACCCTAAATTCAGGAGCAGCCCCGGCGACAGGAGGGCTCCGAGAGGAGCCAGGAGACTGCGGGGCTGGAAAGGCATCCGCGTGCCCTCCCAGGAACCCTCTCCCAGGGAGATTCCTCCAAGAGAAGGAAACATTCGGCTGCAATCACAAACCATGAACAGTGCTTGGAGTCAAGGCAGAGCTTTACCATCTGCCCCAAAAGGTAGCTGAGGCTGAGGCAAGAGAGAGGTGTACGGCTGGGCCTTGTGGGGCTGGTAAAAGTTCTCATCAGAGCACAGAGCTCTGGGCGCGGGGAGAGAGCGCCAGGCCAGGTTCTCCTGGGAAGAGGCTAACACCGCCTGCTAGGACGAGCAAGGGCACGCGTCAGGCGCAGGGTGAGCAGCAGGAGCGCAGCTGGGTGCACCACAGGTGGGTGTCCTCTCTGAGGGGGAGATGTGGGCGGGGCTGGGGAAGACCAAGCCTTATGACAGAGAGACGGCCTCAGAACGGATGGCTGTACAGGGCTGCGTGTGTCAGGTGAGGTGGACAACAGGCTGAGCGACATCTCCCGATGCGGCTGCCTAGACTGAGGTCGAAGCTCATTCTCCAAGGGGCTGCTGACGCTGATTCAGGGATTGGAGGAGGGGATGGCCAATCCTGGTAAAGGGGACTCATCTGCATACCCAGTAGGTGAACCCTGCATAGTGAGGGTTGGGGGACTTCTGGGACCCTTTTCACAAGAAGGCCTGGTTCAGCAGAGGCGTTTGCCAGGCATGACTGAATGGACAGACCCATCTGAGAAACTTCCAAACACTCAGGAAGTAACTCCGAGGGTAGGAGGGACGGTAAGCCAGAGAGAGTAGTGGAGAGTGCGCAGGACCTCAGCATTTCTGAGATGCAGCCGATTTCTGGGAAGGAAGGGTGCCTTGCGTGACACCAAACTCAAATACTGTCTCACTCCAGCCCCTTGGAACTTGACCCAATTTCCACCAGAGAAGGTGCTCGAAGAAAGTGAGACCAACAGTGGCATTCTAGGGACGTTCAAGGCTCTGACAAATTCATTGCAGCCAAAGTAGGAAGAGTCATTTTGAGTAAAGCAGCATGGACGGGGCTGAAGTGAGAACAGCCCCAACACGGAAGGGCTGAAAGTCACATAGGGACAGGGCCGGTGACGTCTCTCAAGGGCACAGCAAATTGCTGGAGCCAACAGCATAACTCACGGCAAGAAGGAGGGCATGTAAAGAGCCCTACTAAGAGCTGCCTGGAACCAGATGGCTGCTGAGAAACTGATGAGAATCTCCAGCGTGCAGAACACTAACAAACTAATGGGGCTGGCATCCCAACCAGCCCTCCTGGGGCTGCCCTAATCCCCACGCACAACCCTTTGATTACAGCTCTTTCCCCCACCAAATGCGATATGATGTCATCTCAACTTCCTACACCCAGGATTTGTTCCCGCTGGGATTTAATGAATCCAGGAACCACAGCTCCTTGCTCAAACACACTCAAATATCTTACAATAATGTAGCAAAGAGAGAGAAGTTCAAGGGGAAACTTGATGGGCACGGAGGAGTGGTTTGCCCTTGAGGACTCTTGACACTGTACCATAAGTACTAAACACTGTGAGAAATCTTTCTCTACGCCTACACAGAGCTGATGAGTGTATTTAAAATTACTTTTAAAAAATTAATAGCTTTGGGGTACTTTTCCCTGTGAGTGAACAGTGTGCTAATTTGCTCAGTGTTTTGGTGGTATTCTTTTTTTAAGACAATTGCACACAATTCTATCCAAAGCCCTCTAATTCTTCCACTTCAGTGGTCTGAATCCCACTAATAAACAATCAGAACTGTAGACTGCCTTAATAATGGAGAAAGATTCAAACGAACATGTTTTGCCAGTCTCTGCAAATTCCTGTAGGTGCTGCCTGTTGAACAGGCTGGCAAAATTACGGATTTATTCAGGACTGATTGCATTGAGTACATAAGCACTTCTGAAGAATTAAAAAACAGAGGGAGTGAGAGATGTTTGTGAGCTGAATGAATGGGGTCGGGGGTGCAGCCTCCAAGCTACCCAGCCTAGCTGTGCTCGGAGTGGGGGAACGGACTTACTGCATGGATGAGCGAGGACCCGGACCTCGTCCACAGCGATGTAGCCAGGATGACCTTTCAAAGAGACGGATTCAAATATCACCTGCAACACACACAGGGCGGGAGTCAATTTCACAGAGGTGGTTGTAGGCAGTGGTCACAGGAATCTTCTCAGCCCCAAATCCCTTTATGATTCTGCTTCCCATCAGAACCACCTAAAGAGGCCTTATACGCTAGAAAGGGGCCTACGACGCTATCCCAGCAACTGACTTAGATCTTCAAAACAAGGTAGAAAGGCCACACTCTGATGACTAGCAAAAGAAGAATCAGCCACATGGAACATTTTTAATGGATTTCAGAAATAACGCTTGGATGCAGGAAAACAACCAAACTATGGCCTGGAGACCCCAATCTGCAGCTTTCTCCTTGTTTCAATACCCCATCTTCTTACAAATGGTAGGGGAGGAGCTTACCTTGGAAGCTACCATAAGGAAAAGAGGGCTTGTCCTGATTTGATTCCATATCCCCAAGGAACATAGTACATCTTAATTTGTTTTTTAAGATTGTATTTATTTATTTTTAGAAACAGGGAAGGGAGGGAGAAAGAGAGGGAAATATCAATGTGTGGTTGCCTCTCAAGTGCCCCCTACTGGGGAATTGGCCCACAACCCAGGCATGTACCCTGACTAGGAATCAAACCAGCTACCCTTTGGTTGGCAGGCCGGCGCTTAATCCACTGAGCCACACCAGCCAGGGCCCCATTGGAATTTCTTAATAACACCTTTCAAAAATAAGCCCTATGCACAACTGCTGGTATCTGGGAATCCAAGGGGAAACATTTTTTTTTTTTTAATTCTCCATTCTGACTCCCACCCAAACTGCTTATTTCAATAACAGTTTTACGGCTCAGTTAACAGCTTTCTTTGTCATCTGACCTCTACCTTCATCGAGGAGCTGTGACTACCTGCGGGGACCACCTGCCCAACTCCTGATCTCCCTCATTCCAATGGCCTTGTCTTCCACTCAGCATCAGCCACAGGCTCAGACTTGTCCTCCAGCCAGAAACTGGAAATTCCAACTTCCTGTATTTTGGCACAGCCTCCTACCCCCTGCCCCTCTCCCAGCTCACTCCTCTCAAACCCTCCCCTCAGGCTCACATGGTACCCTGAAACTCAACTTTCCTAGAGTCCATAGGCCTGCCTGGACCTCCTTCTGTTATCAGCAAGCACAGGGCACCCCCACCATATTGGATAATCACCCATACCGGTCTCACCTAGAGCCCCAGTTCCTTAGTACCCTCATTATGACTTTGGCAAGCCTATTGCCTTACTGCCTTCTCCACTCCTGTGTCCCACACAGACGTTCCCCTTTCAATATCACCCAATCAGTCCCAGCAGGTACCCACACCACATCTTCAAGAGGCAAGAGGACAAGAGAGGGGCTGACTCCTAACTTCTTACCCATCAGTCTAATCAACATAGTTTAGATTACACACAAGTCAGGTTCCTAAACGCCACCCACTGCCTCCTCTGTGCTAGGTGTTCTGGGCATTTCTTGCTTCTTCTTGGCGCTCTCTATTCTAATCCTACATCGCCAAACCTGTCCTATCCTTGACCTTGACTTATGTAAATGCTTGGGTTTCTCTTACTCTTTAAATGCTACCGTTTCACAGTGGGTTCTTCTCTGGTTTAATCCAGTTGTGTATCAATCATATTTAAAATTCTCCTTAGTTTTATCTTCATTGACTCTCATCACTTCCTTACTTCCCACCGTAAAACTTCAGCCTACTGGCATCTGGACTCTGTGCCCAGCACTCCCCTAAAACTGCTCTCATAGCAGTTTTATAACCTCTTAATTGCTAAAGCCAACAGATATATTTCAATCTTTATCTTACTGTAAGAAGGAAGACAGTGTAGTTCTCAGACTCCAGATCAGAATGCCTGGGCTCCAGTGCAGGCTACACCACTGAGTAGTGTGTAACCTTGGGCAAGTTACCTTACTGCTCTGTGCCTCAGTTCCCTCATCTGTAATTATAGTGTCTACCTTACTGGGTAAGTTTTCAGATGAAAGGAGTTAATACACTACTTAGAACAATGTGTGCACATGGTAGGTTCTCAATAAATATTTGCTGTAATTATTAATAATTGACCATTTTTCTACAACTGTCAATGATCACAGCTTCTCCCTTTCTGGGTCTGTCTCTATTTAGGCTCTGGTGATACTCCATTCTCATAAGTTTTCTCATAAATCTAGGACCATTCTACCATAGTTTTCTTTTAAGTACTTCTCCTACATTCAGCCTTCAAATGTGGGCCTCCTCTACTCATTTTTTTCATTCCTTTCTTTTTCTTTTTTTTATTACTGCACACACTCTTCCTTCAATGGCTGCAAATCACTGATAATACCCATCCATGCCTAGCTCTCCGCTCCAGATCTTTTAAAAACCTAAACATCTGTCTCACTTATCCAACTCACAGATTTGTATTTCCACCTCGAGGTCCCCTAGATTCTCAAACTCAAACCGCCACTGATCTGAAGAGCCTTCTTTTCAAACTCTCCCTCATTGCCGAGGGGGCCATCCTTCCTGGAATACAGACCTCGGTGGCTTGTACTATGACCCGCCACGTCACTGAAGATTGGGATTTGGGAACCTGCCTGGGCTTCTCCTTCAGCCTCGCTCCTCACATTCATTTTCTCTTCTGATTCTGTCTTCTCAGTATTTCTAAAATCTGCCCACATCTTTCCATCTCTGCTACTAAGATGAACCATATGGAGCAACTATTTTGCAGGCCACACCATTCGGACATCAGCGCCACTGCTCTGGATCAAATCTTCACTGCCTCTCATCTCTAGCACCTCACCTGCCTACGGAACGGAGCCTCTCCCTCCTGTCTTTGACTCCGCAGTTCAAGCCTGTAGGTGGAATGTAAGGTGGGTGATGAGACCAACAGGAACGCCACCTCCATGCAGAATGTTCTGTGGTCCACGCAGTCAACTCCAGGTTCGTGGACTCAGAGGTCAGTGGTCCCCGTGGGGTGTAACCGGTGAGCAGGGGACTGGGGTAGAGGGGGTGACGGCTGTGAAGAGGCGGCTTTCTCTAAGTCAACCTATGTAAAGTGACTTGGAAATAAGAGTCACACCAAACATAACGCAGCTGGCACCAGCATGACAACCACGCTGCAGAGCTGCCAGGGCCCTTCAGAGAGAGTTAACAAAGAAAATTGTGCAGGAAGCACGGGGAAGAGTTTGCAGAAATCAAAGTGGGAAAGCTGCCTTGTCCCATGGAGGAGGAAGGCAGCAGAAGGCCTTTCCATCAATGACCATATATCTAGTTATATTTTTAATAATTCAAAGCAAACCAAAAGGAAAGTCCTAAGGGAAAACAGTAAAAGAGCAAATACAGAAAATATATTTATAAAGAAATAGTATAAGAGCATTCAAACTGTATAATAAAAAATGACAAAAGTTAACAGAAGATATTTGTGACAAGAAATATAAATAGGTTAAAATAGAGACAAACTCTCAGACTGTCTAAATAGATGAAGTCTAATTGTATGCTCTAAGATAAACACCTAAACAGAATGACTCAGTAACCTTAAGAATAACAAGTTGAACAAGGAAAATAATAGGGAAACACAAATAAACAGAAAACAGCTGTTGCAAAAACAATGTAAAAGCATCAAAGTAGAATTTAAACCAAAAGAAAAATAAAAACCATTAAGTGGATTGAAATGGTCATTTGAAAGAATTCATGAGTTATTAGATTTAAAAGGAGAAAATGATGAAAAAAACAAATAGTTATATTTTAAATAAAATCCATTTATATTTACTTAACCCATGTTTTAGATCCTGGGCACCCAACTAGGGGAAAAAATACATCTATCAAGTATGTATATAATATAATAATGCATTTGCTAAACAAATGTTAATGAATACAGAGAATGAAATTTCTGTTCAAATGTTCATGGGTTATTTACAGGCTAAAGTATAACTTCAATCAATCTGTTAAAGAAGAAACCATATAGGTTTGGGTCTGTACATTTTCTAACCAATTTCACTAAACTTAGAAATTGATGATAAATGCTTAAAAATCAATTTCTTAACATCAAAATATTATGCATTTCTTAAATATAGAATACCTTCTTTAAAACTGTGATGTCAAAGTATGTTTTGTATGTTAACAAAATCTGAAACAAAATTAAAACTTAAATGGCAAGTTGAAAAAAAATATCTGTAATATATGTGCCAGCAAAAAGGTTAACAACCTGTTTTGTGTAAAGAATTCTTGAGACTCAACAGAATAAACTCTCCAAAGGAAAAATTGGCAAATGACCTCAGGAGGCAATTAACAAAAGATGAAGTCAGAATGATGATAATCTACGAATGCAAGAATTTTTTTAATGACATGGGGTCTTATAAGGCTTACTAGGGAGCTTGAATTTTCTTCTAAGTCACTGAAAGATTTAAAGCAGGGAAGTGGCATGCTCTCATTTACATTCTGGAAGGATCATTCTGACCAATCTGTGGAAAATGACTGACAAGGAGGTGGGCAGCTGGGAAAGAATGAAACAAATAGACCTATCACTTGGCTATTGTAGTCATCCAATCAAAAGATGAGGATAGCTTTGATGGCTGGTGGCTATGGAGAATAACAGCTGATGGTTTGAGAGATATTTCGAAAGTAGAGACAAAAAAAAATGCTGTTAGATAAATAGCAGAAGAGTGAAGGGAAGAGAAGACTCAAAGAGCACTCTTCAATTTGGAGCTTGAGCTTCTAGGCTAATTCTCGTGTCATTCATTGACAAAGGGAAAATGACACAATGAACGTGCGTGCACAGGCACACAGGCACGGCTATGTCCAGATTTCCTTTTGGCCATGTTAAGTTGCAATGGCAATTAAGTATCTTAATGGATATGTTGAGCAGGAACCTGATGTTACATTTCTGAAGCTTAAGGGTAATTTAGGAACCAGAGTTACAAATGTGGTAGCTTTGGCATCTGAATGTCATTTAAAGTTATAGAACTAGATGAGGTCACCTTGAAAGTCAGAGTAGATAGTTCAAAGAAGAGGGCTCAGGCCCAAAGCCAAGGGCTAGAAGCCTA